ACTGCCCCCTGTCATGCTGATCCCGGTGCCGGGCGGCCTCGCGGCTCCGCAGATCCCAGTGCTGGGAGGCATATTACCCTTTTACTATATAGGATAGAGGCCTGGTGCACGTGTGGGGGTCGGCTGGTTTGCCCTGAGGGGTGTCCTGGATCAGGGTGGGGGTCCCTCTGGGGTGCCTGGCCAGCCTGGCTGAGGGGCTGAAGGCCCTTTTCAGGCTGGCCACACCCACTTCAGGTTGGGGGTCCCCACTGGGGTGCCTGGCCAGCCTGGGTGAGGGGCTGAGGGCCGTTTTCAGGCTGGCCATAGCCCTTCAGGGCGGAGGTCCCTACTGTGGTGCCTGGCCAGCTTTGGGGAGGGGCTGAGGGCCGTTTTCAGGCTGGCCATAGCCCTTCAGGGCGGAGGTCCCTACTGTGGTGCCTGGCCAGCTTTGGGGAGGGGCTGAGGGCCGTTTTCAGGCTGGCCATAGCCCTTCAGGGCGGAGGTCCCTACTGTGGTGCCTGGCCAGCTTTGGGGAGGGGCTGAGGGCCGTTTTCAGGCTGGCCATAGCCCTTCAGGGCGGAGGTCCCTACTGTGGTGCCTGGCCAGCTTTGGGGAGGGGCTGAGGGCCGTTTTCAGGCTGGCCAGGGCTGCAGGATGGAAGCAGGTATCTGGGATTTATTTATCTTCTATAATTGAAACTTTGTAGCCTTGAGCGGAGCCCAGAGCCAGGGCAGAACGGAAGCTTGGCTTCCTCCATCGCCGGGGGCAACCCAAGCCTCCTGCTTGCTCTAGCTCCGTGGCTGCCACCATCTTTGTGACAGAGCAAGGGTTAATTTGCATATTACTCTTTTATTAGATAGGATTATACATTTGAAAACTGCTTTATAAATTATAAAGCACTATATATACATGTTTAAAAAGTAGTATCCAAAGGAATTCCTGGATAAATCAGTGAGAAACAAATGTAAAAATACACAAAGGATGAGAACAGGCAATACACGGAGTGGAGAAATGCATTTAACCAGTAACAGTGTGAAAAGCACATCATCTTAGTAATGATCAAAGGCAGGCATATTAAAAGACTGAAATACTTGGTTTTGCCCCAGATTGTCACAAATTTAGAGAATCCAGAGCTGCTGAGTCATAGAGAGTGGGCATGCACTCAGGTGTTGACAGGAGCGCTACTCCTGAGGACATTTCCATGATATACTTTAATTCTTAACCATGCAGCACAAATCCTAATGCTGACATCCAACAGAAATGCTAACGTGCAAAAGTGGAGATATAGAATGGTGTTCGTTACAGCATATTTATAATGAAGTGGGGAGCAATCTAAACATCCATAAGAAGCTACTGGCTAAATATATATGGTGCACTCCACAGTGAAATGCAAGAGAGCCTATAATACATGGAAGAGCACAGGCAGTGAACATCCAGTTACAGGTATGTAGCACATAATCTTGATTTTGTTATAAAAAAGAATACATGCACAGTCCAAAAAGTTAAGAGCGAATACTTCTGGAGGGTAGGTGTAAGGATTTTTGGTTGTTGTACTTTTAATTTGCTGAAATAAACATGCGTTGCTCTTGGAAGCATCTTCAATAAAATATACTGACAAGAAAAAGGTAGAGACTAATGTAACAAATACCTGGATACCCATCACCCAGCCTTAAGAAAGAAAACAGTGATTCAATTAAGCCACCTCTGTGCCCCTTCCTCAACCGTAGGGTTTAACATGAGCCGAGGTTCATATTTATCATTCACCATTTGACTTCTATTAGTTGGCACTTATTGTGAGAATTAAATGAAACAATGATGGCAAAACAGCTCCCACAGTACAGAGCACACTGTAGATTCTGAATATAGTTTCCCTAGAAGGTCTTTACAAATAATCAATTCTGAGTGATCACAGAAGCAAACCTTCATTGAACATTTAGTCTGTGTCATGCACTGGTTAAATGTCTTACGCATGCCTATATTTGTGCTTGAACCTCTATGAGGTGAGGACTGATACTTCCCCTATTTCACCAATGAAAGCACAATATAGGGAGGTTAAACCACATGCCAGAGACACAAAACAGTAAGCAGGCAAGCGGGATTCCAACCCAAGTCTGGATTGGGGAAGCGCCAGGTTTTAGCCATCATATCCCACTTCCCATCTGCCACATTCCATGGATGGAAAGGATAAAAAACAAATGTCTTTGCACCTGCACAGATTATCCTCAGACCCAGGTCACACTCAGAGTTGACTTTTAAATATAAACAAATAAATACTTGATTCTTATTATCTGTAGTAGTTAATGTTCTGGAAAGTTGCCATGAACACTGAATTGAATACTGAAGCATTGCTCCTGAGGGAAATACAGCGTTAAGTTCCTGTGAGTCTCTGGGAAAAGCATTTTCATCAACCGCTCAACACGTAAATTTGTTTTATGTTTAAAGACACATTATTCAATATATTTTGCTGATTTATATCATTCAATTCAGGGCCAAAAGCACTGCGACTTGTTCCTGAAAGATACATATCTAATGCATACATTTTCTCTGTAAGGCACATCAGCCTTCTTGTGCTTAGGAAAACTAGACAGCACTTTAGCACTATGCTTGAGGGCATTTTAAATAGCAAAACCACCAACAAAAAGTATAAAATATTTTTAAAAGGTACTAAGTAGACTGTTGAAAAAACTTGTTTACTGTATGCACTAAAAGAAGAAGGCAAAGCATTGCTTTGTTCAACTTCAGCTGGGAACGTGTGCTGCAGGAAACTTAAATTTCAGGCAACTCAAATTTTTCAGTGTTTTGTGCATATCTGTGAATGACTAAAACATGGTAAGCATTGATTTTGGAGTTACAAATAAATTTTAGGGAGCAAGCAAATTCACAAACAATGGAATTTGTGAATAATGAGGATAATAGTAAGTACAGTGGGGCCTTGACTTATGAGTTTAATTCGTTCCGTGACGGAGCTCGTAACTCAAATTACTCGTATGTCAAATCAAAAAGTGAACGAGTGAGACACGTGATTGCTGGGCTGATGTTGTGGCGTTCACTGTGACGTTCGCTGCGCCAACTAGTGGTGGGGTATCTGAAGCTGGCTCATATCTTGAAAAACTC